CATTTTCCAAAGGCTTTGAATCACAGCCTTTGTACATGCATAACTCAAAAAGGACTGAATTATCAAGCTGAAGTTGAAACTTTCCAGATGGCTACTCCTCACTGCAAAAGAAAATTTAAAATAATTGAGTTATACGCAATTAAAAATCAATTTTGCCCATGTTTAGTATGGCATTACCACTAAATTTAGACTTCTTATACTATTTATGGGATTATGGAATACCATAATCACAATGTTTGTTAGCTAAATAGGTGTGGGTTTCTACTACTTTTCTATTGTAAAACCTCTGGACACAGCCATGTGGGGCTTTACAGATCACAAGCAACAACTGGAATTGCATCCAGAAACATACTGGTGGACAATGCTATATCTGATGCACCCATGTAATACACTTATTTTATTGTGCAGAGCAACAAAAATAAGTGGACAGTCACATTCTGCATTAGCTGAACGTTCTGAGAGGTCTTTAAGTGTAGCTCCGTACAGAGCACATTGCAGTAATACAACTGCATGGAAAACTGACATGGTTATATATGACAAACCAGACGAAGATTTAAAAAAAACATTCTTTGCTACTGTTATCTATGAATTCTGGACCAGCTGATGAGGCAAGCAGACCTCCAGGTTGTGGCCTACCCTGAAAAAAAAAACACCCAACAGAAGGCGTCTTTTCTGAAGGTTCATTCTACCCCCATCCCAGCAGCATCACCTATGTCTGGCCTGAGATCCAACACACTTTGATCCAAATTGCTATCTCAGCCAGGCACTGGGAGAACAAAGAAACTGCATATCTGATCCATTAAAAAGGAAACACCTAAGTATCATCTGCATATTGATAGTACTAACTGGTCTCGCCATCTCCCACCACAAACACATTGAACAACTGAGGTGGCAAAACAGAACCTTGTAGAATTCCACATGAGAGCTATGCGGTAGATTAAAAAACAGCCCAATATTTTAAAATGTTGCCTGCTAGATCATTCTGCAAAATATTTTTTACCTTTTTCTTTTTTTGTTTGTTTTTTTGTTTAGTTTTGGTTTTGCAATTTCTTTGTTATGCCAATTTTAATTGACCATCTCACCCATTGGGTAGGACTTGGTCAAAATAAAAAATATATTTTTAAAATGTTCCTTTCTGAAAATTTCCAAATTTCAAAACAGTTAAATTTTGTTTGAAAAAAATACAGAAAATTAAAAATCAAAACTATAAAAAACAAAGGTATACAATGTTTTTGAATTTGCCAGTGTGTCAGTGAATTTTTTTCTATTTTTCACCAGCTCTATGCCAACAGTTCAAAAAGAATCACCATGAATATTTGTACCTGCGTGTGTGTGTGTGTGTGTGTGTGTGTGTGTGTGTATAGGTGAGATCTATACACACACACTTTGTACAGTTTTGTCAAACTGGAGTCAAGGTTGAGTACATATTATTAAGTGAAGGATAAAAATGTTACAGCAATTTTGTAATTATCCCAAAACAATTGCTACAGACCCAGGAAATGCAAAGATTAAGATTCAATTCAAAAGCCCAGATAACCTTAACTCTGCCCTTTAGTAATGCCATACAATTATAACCGCTGCATAATAGTGTTTTCATTCCAGATTTAACTGATTTTCAGACACTAGCATTTTTTCTCCTCTTTATGGTGTCACTCTTGGGAACAATGGGTGTGAAGCAAATCTGTTCTCAGAGCAGATGGTGATCCCCTATGTGGTGGCCCAACTACAGGCCTAGTACAGCATTTGCAATGTATAAGGGAACCCCTGTGTACACAGATAACTCCACTGAAGTCAATGGAGTTCCACACAGGCGTAGCAGTCTGTCTACACACTGTCCATTATAGGATCTGGGCCCTATGGCAGGCAGTGGCTATTTTGAAAGAAAGCATATTTGACAAGGACACATTTAGCTTCATTCCCTTTGAAAACAATGGGTGATTACAGTCATTTAGAAAGAGGGCAGTTCTTCGAATTCTGTATATCAGAACATTATTCATCAGCCTCTGCTGAAGAAGAAACTCTCACTTATGGAGAATAAAAAACACCCAAACATTAATCCTAAATAAATTTCAAATGAAGTCAGTTCACTAGATTGCAGTGAATTTTCACTATATGAGAAGTCTGCCTTATTCCATAATTAAGGTCATTCGGGGGATGGGGTGGGGGAGAGAGAACATGGTCTAACACAGAGTGCTAAATTTCTTAAAAGATCCTCATTTTAATTTATTTTAAGTCAAACTAATTAACCTATTTACTTGTAAATGATCAGAAAATTCATTCTGTAGTCAAATAATAAGTACTATAATATCCTTCATACACAACAAATTGGTTGCTTTAAGTGCAAAACTAAACTCGACTATGGAACCATGACCTGTATTCCCATAATATAGTTGAATGTGTTTAACCACCACGGCTGCTGTGGTGCTGTTGTCCAACAGTGGCATATTAGGCCCTGATCCTGCAATATACTCCATGTCGGTGGACCTTGGATTTCAATAGGGCTCTGCACAGGTGTAAGGGTCTACCTGCCTGGAGCTCATTGCAGGATCAGGGACTTATGCTGTGCATCATAGCACAGTGGATATATTTTCTAGGCTGTATCATAATTAAAACATTTGGCAGTGCTCATGAAGTTAATATAATAATGTAGCATACTTCAGCTAGTTCAGATGTTGAATGAACTGATACTTTCAGCCACAGAAACCAAGCCATGCCTCCTTATTTTGAAAATGCCAAAATAATCAAAATAATTCTGAAAAGATGGTATTCCACAAAAAACAGAGGAAACTAACAATGTTTGCAGGAATTAAAAAGAAGCTAGGGTAAATGTCTGTGTGTGTGCATATATATATATATATATATATATTTTTTTTTTTTAAAAGAGTCATGAAGAGAAGTAAGTGTTGCCACTTTACTCATTACTATAGTGCTACTACAAACATGCATTTGTGCGATGGGACAGGTAAGATGCTATATGAAACAGAAAAAATGCAGCATCTTTGTTTATTTAGGCTTGTGGTTTCTAAGTACCTATTATTTACTGTGTTCATTTCTTGACTCAAAGTGAAAATGGGAATTCACCTTTTCTCTCTCTTTTTTTCCTGTCCAATGTGCAGATGGGGCATATTTTTATTCACTCCATCAATCCCTGCCCCCTACGCACTAACTCACACACATACACCTAGCCAGTGGAAAAGAAAAAAGGGTTACTCATTAATCCATTCTACAAAGCTTTCCAAACTGAAATGGGTGGGTTTACATCTTCAGTAAGGATCAATAAATAGGTAGGTATGCAGCGTACCTGAGCACAGTTAAAGTGTAGTGTACTTCTTGGATAGCATCAACTCTACTCTGGGCATATTTTAAAACTAAACCCATCAATATGGAGAGGATGATCATTTTCTGTCTATTTTTCTTCTGTTCCAGTATGCTGCTGAGTGCAGCTGCACCAACAAAGTTAAGATACAAGGAGCTTGTAAAGACAGTCATTGAGTTGAAAAAAATAGTGAAAGTTAAGGTAAGCACAGTATTTGTGGCAATATAAAAAAATCTGTCTATAAAATGTTCTCAGTATGTATTGTTGAGAATAAACCTAATGGGAGAGATTATTATTAGATACTAAAAATTCTAATGTAATTTTTTATTCTAGGATGTTGAACATCCGAATACGCCAGAGGACTTTGAGGTAAGACTGCTTTAACATATCCTTCTAAATATACTGAATTTATTTTAAATAGGTTTATTCTCTTTAAAAGTGACAACTGCATTTTTTCTGACACATATGAGTTGGTACTCTTAATCGTAGATTTGAAACTATTCTTAACACTAGATTTAAAAAAAACCAGAAAATACTTTAAATAGAAGTTGCTTCTTATTTCTGTTTTAAATATTAGATTAATATTACAGTATGCTTTAGTACTGTATTATTATTACTAATATAATATGTATATTTCTAAAGCACCCATTGCCATAGTATCTAAATGTATTCCTTTTACTTGAAATTTAGTCCTGGTACCAGATATTCACACAGCTGCTTGATAATCAATACTACTCTTCAAGGACTCAATCCTGTGAAGATGCTGTACACCTTCAATTTACAATCGACTGCACTGGGAATTGAAGGTTCTCGGCACCTTGCAGAATCACGCACTTAATGAAAAACTACTAACTGAAATGAAGTAACAAAAGTGGAAATACAGGCCCTTGCAGCCCTTTCTCACGAGTAGTCCTACTGGCTTCTGTGAGACTACTCATGTTTAAATCATCATTTGAGGACTTTACTAACTCAGCCAGAGATTAGGGGGTTTCTTACAGGAGTGGGTGGGTGAGGTTCTCTGGCTTGCTTTGTGCAGGAGGTCAGACTAGATGATCACGATGTTCCCTTCTGACCTTAAAGTCTATGAGTATATGAGGAAGGACTACATTACCAGGCAAATAGAGATAAAATTATTACAGTCTATTGGACCAAATTTTCTTTATATTGTGCCTCGCATTAAAACAACAAGAATAAGTCATTGTAAATTCTCATTTCAGGATGTATATTTATATTATTCAGTTCCATGAACTATTATTATACATAAGAATAACATTTAAATAAGTCAGAGAATGTCTGCACCCCGTGAAAAGTATCTCACTGCAGGATGTGTAGTAAAGTTAAATGTAAGGAACAAAATAACGAAGTCCACACACTTCAAAAGTTTAGAAGGTGAATGAGTTCCACTTGTGCTTTCTTCTGACATTCACCAATGCAGAACTAAGTTCTAGACCTAACATGTACTTATTTAATATAACACTTAGCTATAGCATCAGCTGCTTTAGCTTTAACTGCAATATACAGATTTGAGCAACAGCAAATACTTGAGAAAACTTAAAACAATTTTTCTGACTAGTATACAAAGATTATTATTAGGCATGGTGATTCATCAAAGCATGCGTATATTGTAATGCAATTTTTTCAGCTTTTTAAACTTACTGCAGAACAAAAGAGAGGAAAAACTCACCTTGTTTTGCACTGTTTTGGCTACACTCCTCATGGTCTTTACTTAGCTTCTTTTTGTTACTTTCCAGAAAAGAAAACAAATGTTATAAGCATGCATGACCCACACAGACCTACTCTATGTCACTGCTGGGAATACATGCAATGCAAAATCCCACGACATTCAAATTGTTGGGGATTTTTTAAATGTCTACATTTTCATGTCAAAGTGAAAATAATTGGATGATTAGCTATCGTTTCACTGAGATAAACTTGCCACTATCCCAGAAATGAAGCGACTATAGCTAGTGACTAACTGCTTAATCATAACTTTTTCAAAACAACATTGTCAGGCGAGCTCAGGAAGAGAGATAGTGGTTCACTTACAACTCAAAGTACAGTTCTAGGGTCTGATCCTGCGAGGGCTGAACACATCCTTTGATTTCATTAAGAGCTCAGCATTTCTCAGAACACATTAAACTTATCACTGCTGCAATCCCTTAGTGCACTGATAAAGGGCTTAAAAGCAATCATACTTCACGGTCAGTAGTTCTCAATTGCTAACGATTGCACTGGGTGTTTGTAGCAATGAAAATGGTCTCTGTTACCAGTGTTAAATTTGTGTGGATCGAATTACAAACTTTTCCAACAGGTTAGCCATGAAATCAAATGTGACAAAGTCAGGGCTAGTTTAAATGTGTGCAATTACCCTGAAATCAGTGAAACTGTATGTGCTTATCCCAGGGCTAAATTTGGTCCTGTATATACCGGAAGAAGATTGCCTTACACATGACCCAAAAGTCAGTGGTTTGTCACTGTTGGTTTTGACTTCCTTGGAGCTTCCTGTGAGTGGACTGAGTGTTAGCCCCAATGCAACCCCACACAATTCCTTGTGTGTTCACCAGTTCACAGTAGCGGGTGAGGGCAAGTTTAAGAAATAAGACAACATCAACAAAGAGAAGGAAATATACTGAAATTGATAATCTTAAGGCAAAATGAGTTCAACTGCAAAGAGGAATGTAGTCAGGTCCTTAGCTAGTAATAATAGACATAACTTTACTGAAACCAATGGCACTACGCTGATTTGCGCTAGCTGAGACTCTGGCACCACGGTTCCTAGCTCAGGAAGTGAAGGTTCTTCAGGGTAAACAGCAACATTATTTTGAGTCAGACGTAAAATACCCTTTACCCATTGCTGTAAATTACTTCTGATATGGCAACTGTGCACGTCTGCCTACCCGCTCTCAGATGTCACCAGCTTCCCATGACTTTGGGGCAAACTTTAACATCTATCAATCAATATTCTTAGCTGTGCATGAATAGTCTACATGCAGAATCCTTGTGTTTATTTGACTGTTAGCCAACCTACAGATAATTGTTAAGTCAGACAAAAAAAAAAAAAAAAAGAACTGTGCCTATATGAGAAATGCTGGTTTCTCAGCTCATCACAGATGAGACAGAAAATGTTTTCAGTTTCAGCTGGAAAATTGAGCTCTTTAAAATGAATGTTTTTTTTTTCCAGTAAGTTAGACTGGTTACAGTAAAAAGCTTGAGACAAACATGAATGTGTGGTTTTTAAGGAAAATATAATGCTATATCTGACTGACACAAAGGGTTTCTGTAAAAAAATTTCTGTAAGAAATACACAGTGAGAACATCATCTGGTCCTTGCACAAGAAGCAAATTGCATTGACACTTTATATACCGGATGAGACTGAGTTTGGGTAGCAGTTGGTATGCAAAACAAAGATGACGGTTTTATCTCCTCCTTGATGTGCATAATCAGCATTTCTGAGAGTTTTTTTCTTTGGAAAGTGCAAAGCAGGTTAGAAATTGGCTACAGTAAACAATGCTGCTCTCTCTCCATTGAGTAGTTAGTTTCAGTGGTAGTTTCCACAGCTATGCATAGGAAGGAAAATGACCACTGCACAGGATGGGAGATTCTGGATGGGTCAAAGTGTCATGCTGCCGGTATTAATAAAATTAACATACCATAGCAATATGAATGGGGGGAAAATAGGCAACTTTTGCTCTGGGTATAAGAAGTGCAAATAGGAAAATTTATGTCATGAGACCAAAGCATAAAGAAGAATGAGATAATTCTCAGAGTAGATACAATTGTTGCTTGATTATCTGTCCTATGGTTTAAGGTGCACCTGAGTTTAAAGCTGAAATAACAGCACTGTGATTTAATAGGATGAAGTGAATCGGGGAGCCAGAATTCCCTGAGTTCTTATCCCATCTTTGCCCCTAACTCCCAGCATTGCCCTTAAGCAATGCACTTAATATCTCCATCTTCATTCCTTCATCTGTTTAATAGGGATACTTAAGATTTGTACAGTGCTCTGAAAAGATAAAGCCCTATGTAAGTTCTAAGTATTATTAAATGTGATGTTAGAAGTGGCATGGAGGATCAAAATGCATATTTATATATACAAAACAAGAGATTTCAGTAGGATATTCATTATTTATGAGAAGAAAACATTTCTACTTATGTATGTCAAAAAACCACTAGATGTAGCAAGAGTCATTTCTGGATTAAATTCTTGTTTGTCAATGTGTTGATTAATGGCCAAAGAGAGATTTTATGAGTTATCTATTTTAAAAATATCTGTTTAAAATTTGTCAAGGGGCAGCTAGAGTAAGGGGTACAGGCTCTTTTATAGTGGATGTGTATAAATCAAAATAAATAAACTTTAAACAAAAACATGAGTTAGATTTCATTGATTTGTTGGAATGAGAGAACTATGCATGTGGAATCATAGAAAAACCCAAGCAAATGTAAAAAAGTGTTAGTTTACTTTCTAGAAATATTTGGCAGTAATTTAATTACTTTCAATGTTTCTCTTCCAGAGTAAATGCCTCTCTTCTGCTTTCAACTGCTTCCAGAATGCAAGTTTACACTTAGAACCAGCAAACAGCCAATCATCTCGTAATTTTGAGGTCATGATTACGAGGTTGAGGAGACCGATTATTATAGACACAATTACTGACATGGTAGGATTGTTTGACATGTTCGCTAACTTAATAATTGCACCATATTTTGCATAGTTTATTATGTCCTAACTGTAAAGCTTGGTGGAAGTACAGATTCTTCTTTAAGTTTTACTAAGAGTTCAAGATGTAAATATACTTAGTGCTTCTTTCTAACATCACACTCATTCTGGTTCTACTAATCAACTGTTCACATATAACTAAATAATGGGAAATGTGTAATATGGAGGTCAGGTTGTCTCCTGATTAGTGTAAGGGAATAGGAATCAATGGATGTGGGTACTTCTTCTGACTGCCATTGGTTTACTTTGTTACTACCTAATCTTTCTATACTCAGTTTTCCCATCCGTTAAAAGAAGATAACACTACTTACACATTTTTAGTTCATCACATATTTTTCATTCAATGATCTCAAATTATTATGTTATGATACACTTTTCAAATGCCGCATGTCTGATAAGAAGCCCTTTTCTTTGTCTTCCAGAATTGTTCTCCATGTGAATCTTATGCTAAAGAAGCCCCCAGACAATTTTTGGATAGCTTTCTATCACTGCTACAGGAGGTAATTAACATTCATTTTTCATTATAAGTTTCTGGCATTTTGTCTTTCATTTTGCCTAAGTGTTTTTAAAAAATTGTAATATCCATTATTTTACATCATTTTAAACAATATGTTGTTTTCACAGCGAATCAGAAACCTTCACATTTAGGACACAATGGATATGAAGACTACTGGACATCCACTATTTAAAGCAGACACTATATTATGTAAGACAACAATGAAAATGTAAATATTGTGTATTGAACATTATGATGTGTTGTATGTTGGGTACATTAGTGATGGACCTTCCTCAAAATGTTTAGATGAGCTGGAGAGTTATTCAGAGCTTATCTGAACATCCCCTCATGCTGGAAATTAGACTCAAAATTTCCCAGGAAAAGGTTCTCTCATGAGATTTCAAGTATTCCCCAATTTTAGCTGGTTTAGAAATACCACAAGAGTAGCCTTGTTTTTGTTTCTTATTCCAAATGAAATAAACAGACTTACTTGAATCTTTAAAAAAAAAAAAAAAAAAAAAAAGACAAAGAAGAAAAGCTAATTAGAATTTCTGAAATTGCAAAAGAGTGATTATGATTTTATCTGGACCAATTTGTTTATCTTCATCATCACACACGCACAATTTTATTTATGGGTATTTGGAGCATTTTGCTAGTCAACTACTGAAAAATATTCTGTTTTTTACTTTTATCAAAAGTACATGTTGAAATATTTATGTTGTATAGAGACTAATATTTTGATATTCATTATTTTAAAATTACTGGAAATACATTTACAACCCAAACTGTATAAAATGGCCCCAATCCTTTTCCCTACTGAAGTCAATCAGGGTGTTGCCATTGACTTTAAAGTGAGCTGGATTGAGCCTTACATTTTAAGAAGCAAAAATCTATCAAGGTAAAATAGTGGGCAAGTAGATTTTGTCCCTGGGGTGGTAAATTTTATGACAGTTTTGCAAGGCTGCTCTAGAGAAGCAATATTCACCAGAATGTCATAAGCTAATTAGTGATGCCTGTCTGCAATGAAATACGATTTGTTTTTGTTATGTGAAAGAATGTATGGGATGGTAAGCACTGTACCTGTATATGCTTTGGATGAGTTGCTCCATTTTTCAAATTAAGTAGCCAAGCAGACTTAGTGTGACACTGTAGTTATATTTAAATTGTACTTAATTTATTATAAAACATTTAAAAGGATATATTTTACCATGTTAAGATCCTTTTAAAAAAATCTTAGTAAACTATAATAAAGGACACTTTAAAAAAATTAAATATTTTAACACCATGAAGAATTAATAAGCTACATCTCGCCTGGCTAATACTGTCTAGGAATAATGAGTTACTACATTATGTACAATGAAACCTGCTTATAGGGTAAAATTCACTTCTATGCAGTTCCAGCCCAAGGACTGAACTACTTAAATTATATTTAAGCCCTCAAAATAAGCCTTAAGTAGAATTTAAGTGGTACTTAGGCCTCGTGTGAGCTACTTTACAAAGAGTGAGTTTCACCCTTAAAGAGAAGTTTCCACTGTGTTTCCATCTCACAGGCCATTGATTAACTAGATTATCTAAAAAGCTTAATTGTGCCAAATTTATTTAAGAATCCTAGTTTTTATAGCCTTTCACTTCTCTTCTAGTGTCATTTATTTATTTTACTCAGGCTTGCACTCATCTCAAAAGCTACTGCTCAAAGGGTCACTGAAGGTATAGGGCAGGTTA